TCAATTCCTTTGAGTTTCACTCTTGCAACCATACTCCCCAGGCAGACAGTCTCTCTCTGTGAATCTTTCGTCTCACTACTTGATATTCTTTCACTTTTCTTGATGTTCTAAATGTATTGTAATCTTGTACATGTAAATCTCAGCTGGCCAAGAGCCTGACAAAACAGTGTGTCATAAGACCCTCTTTTTTAATCTTTACCTGCTGGGTGGTTGTTTGTGATTGTTGTTTTCACTTTTCGAGTTTTTCTTTTCTTCTGCATGGTTATTGCGATTTTTTAGCTCAAGCACCTTTCTGTGCCAATTGATCCAATGCTTGTCTTCTTCAAACGGGGCTTGCAGCAAAGGGTGCACACTCTGTCCCACACTCCCTATCTCTCCGTTTTCACTCTTGCTCTCTGTGTATCTCTGGCACAAAATTTGAAATGCTCAATCGTTCTTCAGTGACTTGACTTGAATCACAATTGTTTTTTCAACTTTTGTTTATTTTGTTGGTTTGTTCGCCGCCCCAGTCACTCGGTCAGTAGTCCTTCGGGACATCCGTTAAAATTGGAACGATACAGAGAAGATTAGCATGGCCCCTGCGCAAGGATGACACACATAAAAAAAAAAAAAAAAAAACTCGGTCAGTCAACTCACACCAGCGGCAATCTATTCGCTGATTCACTTTTGTTTTATTGTTTCTTTGAAATAGATTACAAGTCACGAATCTGATTTGTTTTATTGTTCAAATGCGTTTGAGCATTCAATGTCTTCTTACACGTTTTTTATTTTTTCCCTTCGCTGTTTTATCAGATAAGCAAACCCATTGTCTGTACACAAAGGTTATGGAGAAACCGCTGGACGAAGCGGTGACACCTGATTGTGAAGCCAATGTTCTGCATGACATGGACGCAGTTGGAGATCGTACGTTCTTAAACTCTTCACCCCTAACACCTACCCCCCTTGACCCTGTCTCTTATACACATCTAGATGTGTATAAGAGACAGGCACCTACCTACCGGCCCGAACCGCCCCCCCCCCCCCCCCCCCCCCCCCCCCGCCTCCTCCCCCCCCCCCCCGCCTCCTCCCCCCCCTTTTTGTTTTTTAATACAAAACAATTTGAGCTACCGGGGGCTATTACCCGGCTGCTGCTGAAACAAATAACTCACCCCGTCAACCCTTCAAAGGCTTCGAAGTTCAAACATGTTGATGAGAAGAACCCTCAAACCATTTGGAGGGGGGGGGGGTGCACTTTTAAACTCTAAATCTTAAATCCTTAAGCCGTTATCCAGTAAATCCATGATGTTGATCTTCGAAAAAGCACTTTAAATCTTTGAACCCCGATCCATTAAATCCATCATGATGATGTTGATCCTCGAAGTTTAAAAACACACGAGTGACAGAGTCTAAGACTGTAAGGTTGTATATACCCGGGAAGGCTCATGGCAGCCTAACACAGTGACTTCCAAAAACAGAAAGTCCTAAAATAAGTTAAATAACCCTACACCCAGAACCCTAAATCCAAGTGGAACTTTAAAATACCAAACCCTAAAATAAGCCCTTAAACACTACTAGACCGTAATCCAGGGACTGGGACCGGGGCCCCCTAGCCGCGGGGGCTGGGGAGGGGTTGCCGGCAAAGTTAAATAGAAGAAAAAGCAAAGGGAAAATGCGGGTGGGTGCGTGACACCAGCACCCTGCCAGTAGGCATTTCAACCCAATGCTCCGTATGCGGACCTGTCTCGATTCCGGCACGGGGGTGGCGGCACCTGGGTGGGGGCAGGGGCAGTGCGGGGGCATGCTAGGGGTGGGGAACTCGTTTTTTTTTGTTTTGTTTTGTTTTTGGGTGCACGGGGCCAGTCGTGGCTGGCCCTTCGGGGGTGGGGTTCGACACCTGTTTGGGCGAGTTGATTCACTGATTGCTGCAGGGTTCAAGGGCTTAGTTATAGATGTGTATAAGAGACAGGTTATCAATCAACGGTAATAAAGCTGAGATTGGTGTTGATGTGAGCAGGTGAAGTGGCGAGACAGGGTTTAAAAATTATGCACATGCACGCATCTTCTTCTTCTTCTTCTTCTTCTTCTTCTTCTTCTTCTTCTTCTTCTTCTTTTTTTTTTTCTTCTTCTTCTTCTTCTTCTTTCGTCACTTCTTCTTCTTCTTCTTCTTCTTCTTCTTTCATCGTCACATCTTCTTCTTCTTCTTCTTCTTCTTCTTCTTCTTCTTCTTCTTCTTTTTCTTCTTCTTCTTCTTCTTCTTCTTCTTCTTCT